TGCAGGAGTGAGCAGGGAGGGGTGAAGTGAAGAGGGCCAAGGAGTTCCACCTCACGGGGGACACGGAGGTGCAGACCTTCTCCCTGGAGCTTGGCACTTCCCTCCATGCTGAGCTCTGCATAAACCCAGACTCTCCGTGCTCCACTCTCCCCGTTAGCACGTGCCTGCTCAAACCTGGCCCATCTCCCTCCTGCTGTCATAGAAACGGAATTCTTTCCCTTTTTCATGAACGAGGAGGGAAGGCAGTCGTCTTGCTCTCCCGTGGCCTTTGACAGCCCGAAGACCGCCATTCAGTGGTCTTACTGCCTCGAATTCAGGGAGGAGAAAAGCCTTCTCCTGGCTTGTCAGGTCGCGGGTCTCCCCATTTCATGTTCTGTCGGCTCTGAGGGGGTAGGCATGGAACTGACCTCAGAACGCTGGCTGTTGGGATGGGAGCTGTGTACTCACTCTGACCCTCACTCCAACCTCGTTCCCTTTACCCTCTCCTGCCCCCTCCCATCTCCTCCAGCTCCCAAGTCTAATTTCTCTTTGAAAAAGTCATCAGACACTTGGAGGTTGTCCAGCAAACATGATTAAAAACAAGCTAATGAGGAGGCAGTAGAGCTGCCGGTGGAGCCAAAAGGGTGTGGATGCCAGAGGTAAGGCCCCGAGCCACTGCGGGGTGGAGTGAGGGGCCCACGTGTGCCCACCAGCCCCATCAATCCCTCTGTTCACCCTCCACTCCCCATTCCCCCTGCTCCCTCCAGGACCCAGCATGGCGTGAGGGGAAGAATCCTGAAATGGGATCCGAAGTCCTTGGATCTGGCCCCAGCTATGCCCGCCCTCCCCACGAGACGGGAGCAAGTCTCCCCCGCCCCCATCTCTGGCCTTAGTGCGCCACCTGTAAAATAGGACCATTGGGTCCGACTGGCCAGCGAATGTCCCCACAGATGGCCACTTACACTTGCAGACTCTGATTCTGTGGAACCCAGACCATGGCCTTCTGCACCTGCCTTAAAGGGCAGGGAGTAGAGGCAGGATCCATTCATTAGAGAGACGAGTGTGAAACCATTTTTGTGTGGCTTCAGACTGTGGGTGCACGGGGTCCAGGTTATTTTGGAAATCATTTCATGAGTACGGACTGGGTGCTGTGTTAGTTGCTAGGTGCACTGGTGCTAAGACACAGGGGCTAGGGTGCACAGGTGTGCTAAGACACAGAGTTGCTGCAAGCCCTCAACCCCCATCTCAAGAAACCGGAGTCCTCAGATAGGAAACCGAGTCGTAAGCAGACCATTTAAAAACAACACTGTGAATGGTAGGCTGAAGGTGTGTCAGTGTAAAGGGGTCTTTGGGGGCCTATGGGAGCCAGGCCTGGAGGGTCCAGACGGGTTTCTGCAGGGGGTGGCCCCTGAGCTGAGTTTCTGAGCAAGAGTCAGGCAGATGCCTGCCAGGAGGGGGGGCTCTGCTGGAGAGAGAGAAAGAGGGGAGTCTAAGGAAGGGCCACCAGGGGCTTCACCCCGGAAGGGAGGGTCTGAGACAGAGAGGAATGTGTGGAGACTTGCATTTCAGATGGAGCCTTCTGGCTGCTCCGCAGGAGCAGGGTGGGGAGGGAGGGAGGAGTGGGCAGGCTGTGTGCTCCCCTGGCCTCTCCCCACCGCCTCCTCCCAGCACTTACCTTGGTGCCAAGTGCGAGTTCTGCGTTTCCTGCTGCTCGTACACACACACACACACACACACACACACCCCTTCGCCCAACTCTTCATACACGTGAAATGAATTGCTTGGAAAAAACCGTCAGCTTCCAAGGGCCCATGGTGGCTGGCCTCTGGGGGTACGTTTTGTGTGGCTCCCCCGCCTGCTTTTGAGCCTAGCGAGTAGCAGAAATCCCAGGACTGGCTGGGAAGCTTCTGAAGTGGGGGGCTTCCTTCCTGGGGGGACCTTCCTAGCAGTGCGAGAGGCTCTTTGGCTGGGTTTGTATTTGCCATCCATAAGTTGGAGAACGAGCTCAGAGGAGCCCTGTTGCGCCCATGTGCCCTGAGGGGCTCCCCAGCTTCCCCCTAAATGCTCTGTGGCTCCCAATCCCAGCCACATAGTTCACGCAGTAATTACAACGAATTGCAACTATTCCTGCCCAAAGAGGAGTCCTTGAGAGGGTCCGG